ACCACCTGGCCATGCAGGGGCCCTAACCACCTGGCCATGCCGGGCACATAAGAAAGGTAAATGTACGAGGTATGATATTTAGTAAAAAATGCTTATAGTTTTTTAAAATCTCTTAGCTTAGGTGAGAAACAACAATAATGTATTGTATCGCCATTTACTGGGTGGAAAATATACGTATTTTTTATAAACACAGTCACTGGTGTATATTATGTAACCAGCTCTGACCGAACGTAATAAAACAAAACAAAAAAAACCTCTGGGGTCACCCAATCTTCCTATAGCTTTGTTCACCAAACTTCTCCCTTCATCATAAAAGAAAACCAATCACGCATTGAGAAAATAAAAACTGTTTTAGAGTACACACTGTAAAAAAAATCAATTAAAATGGTACAACATTAAGTTAAAAATGACTCATAATATGAGCGTTACACACACACACACAGATTGACAAATGGATTTTACATACATTATACCAATTATCCTGGGTAGTAACAAATAAATCTAGGCAATAAACATAACATAATTTTATAACCCATAACGTCACAGCAGAAATTATTGAAGTATACCTGATTTATCTATTTCATCAAGTTACCTTACTCTAGTGGCTCTGTGGTAAGTGGAAGATTTCACAAAGTTGATGCAACGTATACAGTTAAGATAGTTTTCCCTATAAGCTGAAGTGTTTGTTTGTTTTTGAATTTCGCGCAAAGCTACACGAGGGCTATCTGCGCTAGCTGTCCCTAATTTAGCAGTGTAAGACTAGAGGGAAGGCAGCTAGTCATCACCACCCACCGCCATCTCTTGGGCTACTCTTTTACCAACGAATAGTGGGATTGACTGTCACATTATAACACCCCCACGGCTGAAAGGGCGAGCATGTTTGGGATTCGAACCCGCGACCCTCAGATTGCGAGTCGAGTGCCGTAACCACCTGGCCATGCCGGGCCTAAGCTGAAGTGACCAATATAGTTAAGATAGCTTTACTGAATTTTTAAGTTCAAATGTAATATATATATTTAGAAAAGCTAAAAATTAAAAAAGAGAATACATCATAAGGAAGGATAGCACGAATCCTACGCAGCATAGACAAACGTTAGATAAAATACAATTAATATTTACGAGGGAGAATTTAAAAACTGACAGCCACAATACACACATCCAACGTTTGATTATATATGTATAATTTTGTCTCTTAAGCGACACAGACAAACGGAAGGTACCATAAGACAACAGGCTTTTATATATATTATGTATGATATTATCTCTGGTTTCATCTATAAATGTATTCCTATATTTCAGAATATTCAAAGAGCTCGTTGTGAATATGATAATAAACATATAAAAATGAATATAATTAAAAAAAAAGATTAATATAAAATCCGACTGTGAATGAGAGATTTAAACATAACACTTATTCGTTATAACTACTGCACCACCAAATCTTTATAATCAGATATTAAGAAATAATTTAAATCCATTTTGTAAACTATTGTGTTATTGTGGTTGTTCATAATATTGTAAATTTGTGCTCTAAGCATGATGAGATAATAGTTAAGAAAAGTTATAAAAAATATCGCCACCTAATTGGGATTTGAATTCAGGAATCCTGCTTGAGCAAAATTATTGCACTAATTTAAACGTTACCAACAGAAAGTCAAATGTTACCGACAAAGGGAGCGGTACGAACAGAGAATGGCTTTTATATAGAGATGAAAATAGGCGTTTTGCATTGTTTTCTTTAATTATCACTTATGACACTGTTGTCTTTGTTGTAAATTATATCGTTATGTAAGATTAACCTTTTTCCTACAAGTTATATTACAGAACATCACGATGAATCTGGCACTAAAGTAGCTCTATGCCCTTGTTTTATGTTTTCTAGTTTCTGATAGGTTGTAACGTCAGTTACGTACTTTTACTTCAGTTTTACTCGTTTAATATGTACGTAGATATTCTTACCCAACTGTCTAAAGGGTAGAGATCAAAATACACTGTGTGTTAAAGTTTTCTTTTTATTCACTTACAAAGCAGAGCGTAAGTTTGTTTGAAATTGTATTTTGTTTTTGTACGCATGTGCAGACGATAAAGGTGGTTTTATTTTGGGAAACATAATATCTGTTTTGACAGAACACAATTCAGTCTGCTTCCATACACAAGCAACTTATAATAGTTTATTATACAGTGTACCGTAACTTTTTTCAGTTTAGCTAGATTAGTATTTGTCGTATTTACTCCAGTTAATGCTTTATTATCTGCTAGCTGGAGTACCCCTCCCTTGGACGGACGTTATGTAAATTTATGGTTAATGAAAGGTTATCTTAGGACATGAAAAGTTGTTTCCCTTATATGTTATTATAAAAAACGTTAGAAAAAATATGAAACCGCTAATTTGCATAGACCCAACAAACCTTCAAGTGAAACTTGGTGAAGATCCATCCACAAGAGGTGAGGTAGTGGTAAAAAAACGCCTATAAAACAGCAAAACTGAAAATTTGTACGTATCTCCCCATGGACCCAATGAACCTCCATACCAATTTTGGTGAAGATCCATCCACACCCTGCAAAGTAGTTACATGGACAGACGACAGACAGTACTATTATATATAGAGAGAGATTAAGCCAATTGATTTATCTAGTTTTATACTTTATTTTTTACTTCCAGCTGTCCACTCCTCAACTTGACTGTATGTGTGTGTGTGGAAGGTTCGGCTTAGGCTTCTGGTAACGTATTAGGTCGTTAAGGTATTAATGTCGCGTTTTGGAACACTTTCATCCCCCCCCCCAAAAAAAAACGTACATCACTTATAATAGTTAAACGAACCGACTAAACGTCACGTTACTGTAACCTATATAATGTGTAAAGTTTAGCATACTCTGTTCCCTTATAGTAATGGCACACGACGAGACACACATGTAATGCTGTTTGAATACCAGAAGGGAATCAACCCTCCTGTAGCCACAAAGGAGTTTATGGAAGTATATTGAACGATGGGAATGTATTGAACGTTCGTAAGTGTCAACGATGGTTCAGCAAATTTCATTCAGGCGACTTTAGCCTTAAAAGCTGTGATGGCAGGGCTGACATGTTGGAATTGATATTGATGCCCTGAAGATGCTTGTTGAGTCTAACCCAAGGCACCACACTCGTGAAATGGCTCTGAAATTGTATTTCTCTCGTGAAACAATACGCAAACATCTAAGTAATATGGAAAAACTCCATAAAGAAGGTGTTTGGGTGCCTCACGAACTCTCCAATGATCATCGTTTCCAACGTGTGAACGTTGCTTCGTCTCTTCAGGCGCGTAAACCATTTTTGAACAGGATTGTCACCGGTGATGAAAAATGGATTATCTATGCGAATATTAAACGTCAAAAACAATGGATCAGTCCCAGACAAAAACCATTTCCGACACCAAAACCTGGGCTCCATCCGCAGAGAGTGATGCTTTGCATTTGGTGGGGTATCAAAGGAGTAATTCATTTCGAACTCCTCAATCCACAGCGAACTGTCAATGCAGATATCTATAGTCAGCAACTGGATCGTCTGAATCAAGCAATTCATCAGAAACACCCTTCACTCGTCAAGGCCCGGCATGGCCAGGTGGTTAAGGCATTCGACTCGCAATCTGAGGGTCGCGGGTTCGAATCCCTGTCACACCAAACATGCTCACCCTTTCAGCCGTGGGGGCGTTATAATGTGTTGGTCAATCCCACTATTCGTTGGTAAAAAGAGTAGCCCAAGAGTTGGCGGTGGGTGGTGATGACTAGCTGCCTTTCCTCTAGTCTTACACTGCTAAATTAGGGACTGCTACACAATGGGCCATCTCTGTTGTGCTCACTACGGGTATAGAAACCCAATTTTTAGTGTTATAAGTCCGTAGACTTATCGCTAAGCCACTAGGGGGCAAACCATATACGATGTCTGATCGGGTCTTTAATTTTACAGGTTCTGGTAGCCTTGGAAATTACTTGAAAATAGAAAAAACATGTAGAAATAATTCGAACATCAATAAAATATTTCGAAATGTCTCTAAGCAGGCCCCATATTTAGAGAAAACGATTTTTGAAATTGTTAGATAATTTTATAAAGGTTTGTTTGTTTGAAGTTAAGCACAAAGCTACATAATGATCTGTGTTCTGCCTACCACGAGTATCGAAAACTGGTTTCTAGTCTTGTAAGTCCGCAGACATCCCGCTGTGCCACTAGGGGAAATTATATAAAGGACAACGGTGTTAATCAGTTTCTTGAACATAGACAAGTTTTACTACCAAACATCGTTGTTTTCTGCACATTATTTATGGAAATATAGTTTATTTGAATAAATCTTGGGTTTTACTCAACGTGAAATACTTTTATTTTACGTAATTTCTATTTTTAAATATGGTAAATTAAGTTCGGTTGGTATTCTACACAATCACTTTGAAAAAAGTTTTTTTTTTGTCGCCAGAGGACATGGATGAGAACAGTCAAAAGTAAAACAAAATTTTTTTTTATTAGAAGCACAGTATGAAATGAGGTCTTTAAAGAACATATTCAGATTAATAAGGTGAAAAGTACAGAAACGGGTTACAAAGTTTAAAATAACACAAACCGACTTTCAAAAGCTGCGAGCCGAAGTTGAAACTTTGTCAAATTATTTAAGCTGGCACACTACTCGTCAGACGTGCACGGACATGCTGCATGAGCCCCGAATTAAGCAAATCTGTACACGTTTGACCATTGACCACACAAAGGTCGTAGCATCCCGTTAGTTTATCAGATGATATATTCGTGTATTTCTTTCAATAATAACACTTTGTTTTCCTTTCTCAAATCAATTCACAATCTGGGATCAGTTTTGAAATTGATTGATATTTGGTCACATCAGATTTCAATGGCAATTATCCGATATATTTGATAATTTCAGGACTTTTAAAGAAATTATAGGAAAAATAACAGTTGCAAGTGAAACAGCCAACAGATCAAACCTAACTCACACTTCTGACCTATAGCAGCATCACACTGCTACCTCTTTCGTCGCTGGCTCTCCATTTCACCACACAGCATCTTTTTGAATGCCGATCGAAAATCTGGACTGAAAATCGTATAAATTAAGGGATTAAGCATGGAATTAACGTAGCCTAACCAAAGAAGGAAACTGAAGAGTACAGCACTTGGTTCACATGCGGAACACAGAGGCATCAACAATGCCATCACAAAAAACGGTAACCAACAAATCACGAAAACCCCAGTGATGATGGCAAGGGTCTTGGCTGCTTTACGCTCACGTTTGGCCTCTAAAGACTCCTTGGTGTGTCTCTCCTTGGTGTGTCTCTTCCCTTTTGAAAGCATCTCCATCCGAGTGGAATCTGAATTAAGACCATTAGTTGAGCTGGTTATATCTGGGTTGGCTGCCTGAGAATTCAAGTTTGAAAACGATGTCATTTCACTACAAGAAGGTACCGATGCTGCCATTGTGGAAGAGTTCTTGCTTTTCACTTTCCTACGAGCTTTTGGAACCTTAGTTCCCGGTTTGTGACGAATTCGTTTCCTAGCTTCCCGAAAGATGCGGAAATATAGGATGAGGATCAACACCAGAGGCACATAAAAAGAAGAAAAGGTAGCAAACACCTGATACGCAACATCCTGGCTGACAAGACATCTCTTTTCCTCTTCTATACGCTTTAAAAAATCTGGATCCTTCCATCCAAAGATAGGAGCTAAGGAGACGACAAATGCAACGGTCCATACGATAAGTATCATGGTGCCGATGTGTCGCGCGCTACGACTTCTGACGTAATCAACTTGCGTCACAGCCCAGAACCTATCAACAGCAATAGCCAGAAGATGTAGAATGGAAGCTGTGCAACACAAAACATCAAACGCAGTCCACAGATCACAGAGGGCAGCACCTAGGACCCATTCTTGAGTTACCTCGTAAACAGCTCCTAGGGGCATCACAAGACATGCCACCATTAGGTCAGCTACTGCTAACGAGAGTACTAGGTAGTTCCCAACACACTGTAGATTTCGGTCCATAAAGATGGCAGCGATAACGAAAACGTTGCCAATGACCGTGGCTAAGATAAGAAGTCCAAGGATGACTGAAGTTATACTCATGAGAACCACGTTCTCCATCGGATGATAGTGGAGTGTAGTGGTTTCTGTCTGGTTCGTTGTTAGGTTTTTCGTCCGATTTTCGTATACAGTAAAGGATAAGTTATCAAAACGGAGATCTGCTGTAATATCAATAACACCATTCCACAGGGAAAGATTGTTCATTCGTTGTAGTAATGTTCTCGTTTCGTCCATATTTATATTAAAAACTCTCAGCTGTGTTAATATATGTTTATATATATGGGCTTATTAATTTACATAAAAATTAGTTATACCTCAAACATTTTACTAAAGTAATACGTTATAAATCAGTGAGTAGTATACATATATATATATATATATATATCACAGTTTAAACTTAGCCGAACTTAGAAAACGAAAAAAAATGTACAAAACTAGTTTCATTACACTACACACCACTGGAAATAATGTTAGTTAACGAACAAAATAGTACTTAATGTAATAAGTACGAGAAAATAAGGCTTAAAGTAATCACAAATGAGCAAATAATTACACTTTTTTAATGATATAAAAACATGAAAAAGTCTTTAAGCTTGAAAATTGTATAACGTTTCAACAAAAGGGTGTCATTATTTGAAGACTTCTACAAACACTAATATATATATATACTTTGCAGTTTTAATTAAAATCACAACTGATTAACAGGCAGTAGAAGCTGGTTTTTGGCAGACCAATTTTAACTCTCAACTCGAAAGGTCATCATCGGTGTACATACTGGTTCAAATATTAAGCTGGGCTAACTATTTCATGGCAGGACTTTGAATTGAGGAAAGAATACAAACACCAGGCGAAACTGAATCGAACCTGAAAATATATCAAAACGATTGCTTATATTTCGTAAAACCAATACAAAGTCATCAATTCAAAGCACCACAAAATTGTAATATACAGACAAGTTAAAGTACATTTATCTTTAACAGTCTTTAGCTTAAGATCTTGAGAAGAACGTAATGGTCTCAGATTAGTCTTAGATGCCTTTATGAAAAATAAGTTTAACATAAATAATAAGCGTGTTTTTCCCACCTAATCTTGGAGACGGCAAAACATTGTCAAACTAAAAAGTTATAAACAGAGATAATATCAAAAATATATATGTACAGAAGAATAAATTTCGAGTATTTTGAGAAGTACTTACAATTCCAAGAAATAAATTATTTGTTATGCTCTTTCTAAAAATCGTTTTACAGAATTCGTTTCAAGCTAAAGTTACCCAACTATTGGTTATCAAACTTCCATTTCAAGTTATAGTTACTCAACTATTGGTTATCAAATATCCATTTCAAGCTAAAGTTACCCAACTATTGGTTATCAAACTTCCATTTCAAGTTATAGTTACTCAACTATTGGTTATCAAATATCCATTTCAAGCTAAAGTTACCCAACTATTGGTTATCAAACTTCCATTTCAAGTTAGAGTTACTCAACTATTGGTTATCAAATATCCATTTCAAGCTAAAGTTACCCAACTATTGGTTATCAAACTTCCATTTCAAGCTAAAGTTACCCAACTATTGGTTATCAAACTTCCATTTCAAGTTATAGTTACTCAACTATTGGTTATCAAACTTCCATTTCAAGTTATAGTTACTCAATTATTGGTTATCAAATATCATTTCAAGCTAAAGTTACCCAACTATTGGTTATCAAACTTCCATTTCAAGTTATAGTTACTCAGCTATTGGTTATCAAACTTCCATTTCAAGCTAAAGTTGCCCAACTATTGGTTATCAAATATCCATTTCAAGTTATAGTTACTCAACTATTGGTTATCAAACTTCCATTTCAAGTTATAGTTACTCAACTATTGGTTATCAAATATCAATTTCAAGCTAAAGTTACCCAACTATTGGTTATCAAACTTCCATTTCAAGTTATAGTTACTCAACTATTGGTTATCAACTATCCATTTTAAGCTAAAGTTACCCAACTATTGGTTATCAAATATCCATTTCAAGTTATAGTTACTCAGCTATTGGTTATCAAACTTCCATTTCAAGTTATAGTTACTCAACTATTGGTTATCAAATATCAGTTTCAAGCTAAAGTTACCCAACTATTGGTTGTCAAACTTCCATTTCTAGTTATAGTTACTCAACTATTGGTTATCAAATATCAGTTTCAAGCTAAAGTTACCCAACTATTGGTTGTCAAACTTCCATTTCTAGTTATAGTTACTCAACTATTGGTTATCAAATATCAGTTTCAAGCTAAAGTTACCCAACTATTGG